CCCACTAGCCTGAGTCACAGTTGCCAACACAAATTGTGCACCTGGAATGGCCACTGGTGCCTGGCTTTGTTTTCTTCCTGGAGGGGTATCACAAAAGAGTGGTGAAAGGACACTTTACACCTTGTCACCTGACTTCCTCTCAACCAAACATGGTTATCTGTGAGCTGAGGAATCCACTGATCTCCAAGGAGGTTAAAAAAAGAAGAAAAAAGAACGAAAGAAAAGGCTTCTTTCCAGTTTTCATCGAGATTTCAAAACAAGAACCCACCAGTTCCCGGGCGACCCTCCTGGGTTGCCCTGAAGCGAAGGTAAGGGGTTCCCTATACCTTAGAGGCAGGGATCCCATATTTCCAAATGCTGACAATGTTTTCAAATAACTCTCTGACCTGGAGCTTCATAAGTGCCCGAGCTGTTCTGCAACAACTTGGAGCCTTCTGCGGCTCAAGTAGTGAAGAAGGAATTGAGAAAATGCCTCTGACTTTGAGCTCTCCGTCAGCTGAACGAGGTAGGTGGGAAGAGTATTCTCCCCAAGAAAGGATGAAAACGGACACTTGGATGAGTGCAGGAACTGGCCCCTGGCTTGGGGGAGCGGGGTGAGCTTGGGTCGCGTCTTCTGGCCCCTCCCCTTTAAGGAAAAGCCGCGTCTAATTCTCCCTCTGATGCTAAAAGAGGTCTGACCTCTTCCTAGTATTTCGTGTCGTAGGAAACTTTTCCTCTGAAGCTGCCAACCATCAGCTGGACCGCGGTGGCGGCCCAGAAAATCGGACGCCCCGACTGACAGGGCAGGTGGGAGGCCCAGGTGCGCCTGCAAAAGCTCCGCCGACTGGGGGACCCCTGCTCAGACACCTGCCTGAAGGGGCTGAGGCCGCACTGAACTTCCCGACCCGGGGCGGCCGGGCCGCGCACCGCGCCGTCTGGGCTCCGGGCCGCGCCCGCCGTGCGACTCCAGACGCCGTGGGACGCCCAGTTCCCCGCACCCACCCGGAGCCGCCCTCTGCCCGTCCGCCTCTTTGGCGCTCACAGACGCCGACGGCCGCGCGCGCCCGCCGGACGGGCGTCAGCGACCCCCGAAAGCGGGACTAGGAAATGGGAAGCGCTTTCCCCGCGACCGTGGCGCGACACTGCGCCAAGGGCGCTCGCGCTCGACCAATGGAGCATGCGCAGTGGGCGGGAGGAGGGCGGAG